GTGAGGGGAGCGATGGCCCGCGAGGATATCCCTGAGGGGACGCGTCCTCAGGAGCCCCCGAAGCACCGGAGCCCAGCCAGGGTTCCACCGGGAACATCCTTCTCTGACAAGCAATGAAAAGGTTTGACCTCAAAGTGGTTTATTTTGGAGGGGTCAGGTGTCAATATCGCCTTTTTACGAGGGCGACAACCTCAAAATCACCTTATTTGGAAGGGGTTGACCTCAAAACCACCTTATTTGGAGGGGGTTTGCCCTCAAAACCACCTTTTCTGAAGGGGTTTGACCTCAAAACTGCAGATTTTTCAGGGACTTGACCTCAAAACCATTGAATTTTTGAGGGGAAGAACCTCAAAGATGCCTTTTTGGAGGCATTTGACCACACAAACACCTTCTGCTTTTGATGACCAGGGAAAGCAACATTAAATAGGTGTCTGAACAAACACTTTGCTCTTTAAAATAAAATCCCCTCCTGGAGACCCTGTGGCTCAGGGATTGTTGGAAAATTACTCAGATTCAGCCCAAACTCCCCAAAACCAGTGACCCCCCCCCACACACACACTTTGAAATCAGCTGAACAAATGCTGAAATGGCCATTTTGGGGTGAAAAGTGGCAGAATTGGGTTCAGCACACAACACAACGAGCTCCAAACAGGCACTTTTTTATTGTCGGTCGCGACGCTGACGGAACCGCGCAGAGACTCCGGAGTGTCACAGCACCCTTAACGCCTCAAAAACACGTGAAAAAGGAGCATTTCCCTGTAAAACATCAGCCCTGCAGGTTTAGCATTGTTTAGGATTTTAGGCTCGTTTTCTTTGCCCGCAGAACAATCAGGTTTGTAGGGACAGAAGCCACATTTCTAGACCGGGGGGGGGGAAAAAAAGCGCCATTATTCTTAAATGCCATCATTTAATGCCTTGAGCACGGAGCTTTGCCTGGAAGCAGGAACCCAGCCTTGGAGTGAAGCTTTTCTGGACACCAAATTCCCCCAGACAGCTGCCCTCACTCTGAGTTTTCCAAAACAACCTCAGAAATATTCCTGTGAATTTCCTAATTTACAGGAATATCTCCCTCGCTGCTCCCCATCACCTCTAAAAAGCCACTTGGGTTTATTGGGAATAAAAATCCTTAATTCTCCTCAAATCCTGTGCTGCTGGGAGGCAGCCGAGCCAGCCCGGCTTCCCCACAAACGCATTTTTCCCAAATTTCTTCTCTCTTTCACCACTTTTCCTTCCAGCCTTCCAAATTCCTGCTGGTTTTTTTGCCTTTTTGAGCAAACAAACCCAGTTCCTGCCACTCCTCAGCTGCTTCCCACACCCAAAGGGTCGGGATTTGGGAGGAAAACAGTTGAAAATCGAGGAGTGAGAGGGAATTCGCCCCCAACACGAACATTCTGGGCAGAAACAAAACCAAACCCACCCTGAAACCTGCACAGGGAGGGGGGAAAAAAAATGGAATTAATCCAGAATGAGCATCAGGAGCTGCAGGACACGTGCTGGGATGGCTGTAAGTGGAACAAGGTCTGGTGAGAATTCCCTGAATTATTCCCACTCATCCCAAACAGGGAGGATTTGCCTCTTTTTAGCTTCATTTGATCGTTTCTGTTGAGCTTTACTGTTACGTTTTTAGCTTTGTTTTTACCTTTCCCTTCATTGTTCTGCCTTTCCCTTCACCTTTCTAGTTTTACATTTTCCTTCATTATTTTTTTTTTGGCTTCAATTTTCCCTTCCACTCCTCTGTCCACTGATCAGCTGCACTAAAAAAAAAAAAACGAGGGTGAAAAAGGGAAAATTTGGGGAATTTTGAAAAGAAAAAATAGAGAAACTACAGATAGGGAAGCTCTGCCCGGCGGCGTCACAGCAATGAAAACGTGCCCCCAAAAATTCCCTGGAAAAGCCCCAAATAACCGTAACTGAAAACATCCCGGAAAAGCAAAATATACAAAAGCCCCCAAAGGATTGGATAATTCCATAGAAACGTCCCCTGGATGATACAAAACCCAAAGGTGGCAGGGAATTGGGATCAAGGGAAGCCAAAGGGATCCCTCAGCAGCACTGGAGGGGGGAATTGTCCCCCAAAGCCTCAGAGCATTTCTAAAAGTCCTTTTTTGGAACAAATAAGCCCTAAAAAAAGCCCAATTGCTGGTGGTGGCTGTGCTTGGGGCTGCGCAGGGTCTGAGGGTTAATTCTGTTACACTTCAGGTTTGAGTTAATTAAATTTTGGAGTTAATTGACCCCTTTCCCACACCAAAAAATTTCCTTTTTCCCCCCTCTCCTGGCTGGAGGCAGGTGTTGGCTGCCCCTGGCTTTGCCAAAATCACCTGGAATGACACCAAAACCCCCCCAGGCCCTGGGTGGGGGTCCCAAATCCCAAATCCCCCCATGCAGGTGAAGCCTTTGGGAAGGCTTTGCCCTAAAATGACACAAATTTGGGGGGACCAGGTGCACATTTTGGGGGGGAATCCGTGGAAGCTGCAGCTCCTCCAGAGGAGCCTCAAACCCCAAATTCTGCCCCCTCGTTCCCCCTCCACCTTCACCCCTCGCACTGGCTACAAAAGCAATAATAATTAGCTTATTCCTAAAAGATTAATTAATTAATTAGGGGCGCTGGGGTGTCGACGGAGGGCAGCGAGGGGTGGGAGGTGACCCCAGCTCTGCGGGCAGGAATGCAAGGCCACAATTCAATATTTTAGGGGGAGCCCTAAAATATTAAAATATTTTAAATATTAAAATATTTTAGAACGCCCCTCGAGGAGCTGCCTGAACCCCCTTCCTGCTCCTCCAGGTTCACAAACTCAATTAAACTCCCTCTGGAACCACCCAGAACCCCTGGAAATTGGGGGGGATTTCACCCCACGAGCGGCCCTGCCTCTCGTCGTCGTTCCCAGCGCTGGGATTTAAGGCCGATTCACCAAAAATGTGCATTTTACCCACCCGCCCCGCTGCCAGGGCTGTCCGTGCCCACCGAGGGGCAATGCCAGGCAGGGCTACGCCTCGGGCTGGCCCTTGTTGCTCTTCTTGAGCAGCTTCCTCAGGTCCTGCGACATGAAGTAAGGCTTCTCGGCCGAGCCGTCGTTGCGCTCCAGGTCCTCCACTGCAAAGAGAGACCCCCGGCCCCTGGGGTTGGTGTGGGATCCCCTGACAGTGATGCCCAGCTCAAACAGAGCCTCTGGGCCCATCCTGAATTAATGGGTTAATTAATGAATTTCCCTCTGTGGCACGGCAAATCCGGGCATGGCCCGCAGGGGTTCAGGAGAAAGAGGGAATTTGGGTGTTTGGTGTTTTTGAGCGGAGCCAAGGGAAGGAGGGAGCCCTTGAAAAGCGATTCCCCCTCGAGGCTGGAAAATCCCAGCTATGGAAAAAACAACACCCCAAAACCAAACAAAGCCTCAAAGCTCCGGGCTCACAGCGCCCAGAGGGTGTTTTGGGAGGGATTTGGATCCTCCTGGGATCCAGGACACGGCAGCACCAACAGCAGGGCTGTGTCCTGGCCGGGAGCTGTGGCTGAGGCTGAGCCACAAGAGCTGTATTTTTATCAATCTTGATCATTTCTGGGCTTTTTGGAGGAGAAATCCTGACTTCCCCCCATGGCTGGAGGGAAAATCTCCAAGTCCCAGTGACAGCTCCTGTGATGGCTGGGACAGGGGAGACAAGCTGGGCTAAACCAGCAAAGCTCTGCAACCTCACCCAGAACCCTTCAGAACCCTGCGGTTTGCATAGAGACAGGAGGAGGAAAAGGCAAGGAAAGGGGCGAGGAAAGGGCAAAGAAAAAGTCTCGGTGCTCTCGGCCGAAGCGGACGCAGAGGAAACGCCCTGAGCC